AGGGGGGAGGGAGGGAGGGAAGGAAGGAAGGAGGAAGGGGGAGAAGGGGAGGGGCCTCGGCGAGCCCAGAAAAACGACAACGCGAGAAAAATTAGTATTTTTGCACTTCACAAATTAATGACCATGAGTTCGTTTTTGATAAACTCCAACTACATCGAGCCCAAATTCCCTCCTTGCGAGGAATATTCGCAGCACGGTGGCAACGGCGGCGGGGGCAGCAGCTACCACCCGCATCACCAGCACCAGCAGCACCACCACCACCACCCCCAGCCGCAGCCGCAGCAGCAGCACCCCCAGCCGCAGCAGCAGCACCCGGGCCCGCCGCTCCGCCAGTACTACCCGCGGCCGAGCAGGGAGCCCGGATACCAGCCGCCGCCGCCGCCGCCACCTCCTCCTCCGCCGCCTCCTCCTCCTCCCGAGGCTCTCTACCCCGCGCAGCCACCGCACTACTCCGAGTCGCCTTACAGCTATGGCAGCCTCGGCGCCACCGCGGGCCCGGAGCAGCCTCCGCTGGAGACCTCCCCGCCGCCGCCGCCCCCCAACCCTCCTCCTCCAGCGCCCGCTCCTCCCGCCTTGAAAGGCCACCCTGTCCAGGCGCAGCCCCTGCTCCAAGGCCACGTCCCGCAGCACCCGGTCCAGCCCCCCCAGCGCCACTGCGAAGCGGCCCCGGTGGCCGGCAGCCCCGCTTGCCCCCTAAAGAGCCGGTGGTGTACCCCTGGATGAAGAAGATCCACGTGAGCACGGGTGAGTTGACCTTCTCCAAGGGGAGCCGGGACCCTCTGTGTGCCTGTGTGTGAGAGAGAGGGGGGAGGGAGGGAGGGAGGAGGTATTTCCCCCAAAAAAAGAAAACGTGAGAAACCTTTTGTGGGCAAAGCCCTTTATCGAGAGATTTACGAGGCACCAAACCGATAGGGCAGTCATTACAGCCCCCATAAATTTAATTGCCCTGGCAGTGACGCTGGGCCGCACGTCTTTGAAGCTTTTCTTGAACCCAAACGCCCATCACCATTTTTTATGGCTCCCCAATTGTCTCCTATTGTCCACAGGCGCTTACCCCACCCATCTTGTCTAAACCCCACTGTCGAGTTATTACATAATAATGACGGTGTCCCGTTGCCTTCTTCTCCTTCTCGGTGTGCCTGCCGCCTGGGTCCGCTCAGTCAATCCCAACTACAACGGAGGGGAGCCCAAAAGGTCCCGAACTGCCTACACCAGACAGCAAGTCCTGGAGCTGGAGAAGGAGTTCCATTTCAACCGCTACCTGACCAGGAGGCGACGCATCGAGATCGCGCACACGCTCTGCCTCTCCGAGCGTCAGGTCAAGATCTGGTTTCAGAACCGGAGAATGAAATGGAAGAAGGACCACAAACTGCCCAACACTAAGATGCGCTCCTCCAACCCCTCCGGTCTCAACCAGCAGGCCAAAGCGCCGCCACAGCAGCAGCAGCAGCAGCAACCCCGGGGGAGGCTGACCCCCAACTCAACAGCGCTATGATGGCCCCTCATAGTCAAGGGACCCCCATCCTCCTCCCCCCCATCCGCGCCTTGTTTCCTTTAGCATGGGGACCAATCGACTGTGTTGAACTGCGGGCAGAGCAAGAACCAGTGCCCGTCCGAAGGGTGTTCAAACCAAAAAAACTGAACAATGCGCTTTATGGTCTGTAATTATGTTTTATTCCCGCCATATTTGTTTGTTTCTTTAATTTATGGAATATTCCGTCTACCTGCAGCATTAAAGAATTGTGGATGGATCTTGTACCTAAGAAGGACCTTTTATGTGTACGCCTTCAGGAGTCGACAATGTTTCTAAGTGACCTTGTGAGAGGTGTGCCTGTGTATGTGTGTGAGCCATAGGCCTGTGTTGTTCTGTGGAATGTTATTCGTGGACTCTCAAGCGTAGACTGGTTCCCAGTCATTTCATGGAAGCCTTTACAACCTGATGGGGTCGGGAACCACCCCAAGTCCACGCCCCCCCTACGGACAGAGAAAAGAGGTTCTCTATGTGCCAAGAACAATTTAACTTTTTCAAGGTGTAGTCCCTGCTGTAATTGTGCTTCGTTAGTGTGTATGTCTACCCTCCATACTTCCCCCCCACGCACTTATTCAAAAGAAAGACAAAAAGTAGGCCAATATTGTTATTAAGGGTTGTTCTGTCTTCTTATCCTGCCACGTCAAAGTCTGTGTACAGTTCGTGGATTCTGTGTGTATACATTTGTGAATGTGTGATGTACATAAATCCAGTGCTGCAAATAAATACTCTGTATAGAAAAAAAATTAAAAGCACTAGAGGCACCATGAGAAGCATGCAGTCACGCTTTTTGAATATCACGTTACCCCCTCTGTGATGTGAAAAATGAAAGATTCACTTGAGTTGAATCTTGCCCGTAGACACAGGCACAAAAACACGCACACGTTTCTGTGGCAAGCTGGAGAACTAGGGCTGAAGCCTGAACTAAGCTGTGCTGAGCTTCGACTCCTAATGAAGCTTGGTTGAAAGACGTATGAGACCCGATTTTCACATGAAAGCGAAGCCCAACTTTGAAATCAGACAGAGAGCAAATACCTACCCCTGAAATAAATCGATGAGTAAAATCGGCAATATTCCAAGTACTCCTCCTCAACCCAGGTGTGGATGGGCCTGGCCATCTGCTTTTACCTCCTTTTTATTACTTCAAGGCCTTATTGTGCATGCACTCAGAAAGATGGTGCTTCTGTTTGTCTATTCTCATTCCCAGTGGATCACACTTTTGTGCACACATAGCGAATTCCAGCCCTCTGTGAACAGAAACAAATCTTCCAATGAGTCCAATAAACCAGAGTGCTTAATGTTCTTGTGGTGGTGATTTTCATTTTGTGTGACCCATATGTCAGAACCGTTTTGCAACTTCAGTAGCACATCTTCCGTTCTTTGTTCCTGAGACAGTGGTTGTAACTTTTGGAAGGGGTAAGACAGCCAAATTGGAATGGTCCTTCCCTTTTGAGGGGCACCAATAAACCGGATGCTTTAGGGCCCGGTAGAGGAATCCTGTGGGATCTAGAAGATGGCTTTGACTTGGGACGTTATCTGAAGTCTTCTGAAATGTTTGTCCAGACTTGCAATAAGAGCTGACGATGATAATAATAGTTGGGCGGCGTTCTTGTTCATATGAAATGGATACTGGGGCCTTATATGCATTTATAACCAGAATTCGATGCTCTTGTTCTGGGGGCTTGAAAGAAATGATTGAATTCAGTTGAGTACCTTGTAAGCAGCTCCATAACCATTACTCAGCAAGTGAAGCCCACTGCCTCAATGGTTCCAGTTAATGGAATGAAAGGGAAGACACCAGGGAGGAAAAAATCTAGCATCTAGGATACCTTTGTTCAACCCCAGGAGGCCTCACCTGTTCCGTTACCTCACTATCCTGTCCCCAGGTTGAACAACTGAAGGGGTTTCTTTCCAGGTGTTTCCCAGTCTTTAAAATCCCCATTATATCCAAATTCTGTTTAGAAATGAAAAAAAAATTGTTTGGAAAAAGATGCCTTCCTTGCGCTCCCCTTCTAGACCAGAGTTCTTTGTCTAAAGCCTTTGTTAGGCTTACTGTGGAGAATCTTCTTCTGCTAATTTACTGAAACTTCAAAATTAACAAGAACTCTCAAGATGCTAAATCAACTATTTGAACAGAGCGTTGAGGTTCTTCTTTGACTTCCGCAGTCTTATGCTTGAAACTCCCCTCCCCCCCCTTCCCATTGTAAAAAAAGCGAAATGAAATCACGCTGAAAATAGCAATTTTACTGGGAATCATTAATCACTTCCTCCAATAAATACTTCTTTGTAATTCAACAGCGATTCTGAAAGGCATTCTCTTGGAAAAGGTCTGAGGAGACTCGAAGGATTTTCCTGGGGAAAATGTGTTCATGTATAAAGACACAGTCGCTGGGCTGTGCGATGAAAATATATACTTTCTGGGTGGAGAATGGAGCGCGCATTGAAAAATACATATGGCAGATTGTCATCATTCAAGGTAATGTTTTCTTTTTTTTTTTCCCTCTCTCTCTCAGTAGAGTTTGCTATGATGTGTGCCTGTCGGTGCTAGCTTACCATAATCAGTGTTACAATAAGTTGGAAATCTACACAGTGGAGTATAAACCCTGCCATTGTCCTGTCTCTGCTAGGGCAACCAAGAGAGTTCACCGAAAGGACAGTTTCTATCCCATTAATTGTTTTTTTAAGAGAAGGCGACTGACCCATCAAACCCTTGACCTTTAAAGACAGTATTCTTTTAAATCTGGCCCTCGGACCTCAATATTCCCCTCATACACACACACACACACACACGCACACAACATACTTTCTTTTCTCTCACACACAAAATCTCTCTCACTCTCTCTCTCTCTCTCTCTCTCTCACACACACACACACACACACTTTCTACCAGGAGCATGCCCTATTGCTATAAAGGCGACTACTCTGGATTCTAAAGATTTTTAACATTTCAGCTAAAGGCGAAATGAAAGCAGTCCTGGCACTTCAGTCCTCATGATCAGTAAAGACAATTCCAGGTTTTTTTGTATGATTGGACTGAATTTCATTCTGGTTTGTTCCATGAAGGGGGGGGCAGGAAGAGGAGCCCAGAAACTTGTAACTGGATTGGTTCCCCAACCATTCCGTGTTGCCTATATTTGCTTACAAGAGCTCCTTCAAAGTTGTAAACGGGAATCGGGGTGGTGGGTTGAGAAGACCGTGGCCTTCCTTGGGTGGCACCCCGGGTCTCCCTCCCTTCTTCCTTTCAGGCCTTATTTTCAAGCACTGACCATTTCTCAACCATTGACTGGTCCCTTCAAACATTTCTACTCTCCTTGCCTTCAGAGGCCCCCGACCTGGCATGAGTCGACTACCTTTCCCCCCCTTTAAAGCACCCCCCTCCCTTTGCTTAGTTTGTTCACTACAGAAATATACAGAGGAGATCAATATCTCGGTGACACCATTCCACTGGGCAACCTCAGACTGAACCTACTGGAAGACCAATAAACAAGAATTGTAGCGTTTTCTCAGTGATTTATTTTGTGCGGAGGAGAGCCCCCCCCCCCAAGTTCCGGGTTTGTCAGCAAGAGTTGACTTTTCTTTACATTTCCCTTACAAGAGACGTGGAGACGAGGCTAGATACGGGAGCTCTAGTCCTTCAGCAGAGAAAGTTCCCTGAGGGGTGAGAGCGGGCAGTGTTTCGGGCTAGGTGTGTGAGCCCCGGGTTCATCGTGACGATCCCATTGTGAGCTCAGCTGATTTGGTCAAAGTGTGAATCTGTAGGTTTGCAGCGGGAGATCCATCCAGAGTGGGACCAGGCCATCCATTTCGCATAATCTCTCCGGGACATGTTCGCACCGGTCCTAGAACTATTTGTTGTTTGTCCTTCGAAGTTATTTAGACACCAGAAGAGCTAATCAAAAGAAATTAAACGGGTGTAAATCTCATTGAACGGAACTGATTCTCTCCAGCAGCCCGAGAGAATGGCCTCCAAGGTGCCATGTTTGCCCTCTGCCTTTCGCCAAGGTGGGAAGCCTTTAGGCCTTTGAAATGGATGGTAACACCCCCCAGCTGACCCCGACAGAAGGGGGGCCTCCCTTGATAACCTGGGAGCATGAAGCCCCTTCTGAGCCCGCCTGTCTGAGGTCTCTTACGCCAGGCCTTCTATCAGGCGCGGGGCGTCCCAGTTCGTCAGGGTGGCCCAGCCTGCTGCTGGCGAGCAATAAAAATCCGAACCCTAATTCTGGGCTTGAATGCTTCACTGAGCCGGGGACTGCCAGACTCGCGTTATTGATGTCCAGACGAGCTCCCCTGCAACTGAAAAGATGTCAAAATTCGCGGAGATTATGAGGCCTAAACAAGCAACGCGAGAAACGCTGCTAGGGCAGATAAAGGTGCTGCTGTCTGTTCTTGGGTAGATATTGAAATTTTAATCGGGAAGAGGGGGGGCGGGTCACGTGACTTATTAAATAATTAATATCGCTCGTCACGAATGGATCGGTGGCCGTCAGTTCTCACTAGGAGGAGTGATTCTTTCCGAGGGGACTTCCTCTTTTTCGACTTTCCAAAAAACAAAAACCAACCTGCTTGATTTATTATTTGTCCCCCGCCCCGGAAGAGCCCCTAAAACTTCTTTAAGCAAGCAATAGAGGCTGGTAAGTATACACAGACCAGTCGTGTGCCTTGATTGCTTTTCCTTGTTCGCACGTGCTTTGTTGGGAACTCTTTGCCTGGAGTGGGGGAAGATTTACGAAATGTTAGGTCTCAGTGGCTAGGTGCCTTTTTGGTGATTAAGCCTCCGAGCCGGGCGCAGCGATTTGATAGCGTCCTGGTATTTATTCACCCTGCGGAAGTTGCCTACCACCGTGCGGGAGTCCCTTTTTTTCTCCTCCTCCCCCCCTTCCCCAATTTGCCTGGCGTTCATAAATCACCGGTCCTTGAGCAAGGCCGAGGAAGAAACCCGAGAGGCGGCGGCCAGCATGGGGGGGGGGGGGCGACGACAACGACGACAAAAAGAGGGGAGTCGCAGGCAAAATG